CAGGGATGGGGGTCCCAGAGTGCCCCCCACGTCCCCCTCCTCACCACAGCACCGGGGTCCCGCAGGTCCTGCGCCGACAGTCCCAAGCTCTCGGCATCCAGCCGGTACAGCCCCGGCTCCTGCCGCCACTTGAGCCTCTTGCTGCTGTCTGAGCCGGCGTCAGCGCAGGGACACAGCACCTGGGGGACACCAGGGGAGTCAGAGCCGAGCTGGGACCCCTCCCCACACCCCGGAGCCCCCCGGCACCCACCTCGAGCAGGGTGTAGCAGGAGTTCTTCTTGAGGAAGGTGCGGGAGGCCTTGTCCCGCCAGGAGTGCGCGGTGCCGACCTGCACCTCGAGCTGCCGCAGCTCCTCCAGCCGCACCGGCAGGTCCCTGCCCACCGCCACCAGCCCCTCCAGGTCATCCAGACACGGGTAGTGGTCACCGTTCTGGGGGGGACACCGGGTCAGGCACGGGTAGGATGGGATGGGGATGGGGATGTGCGAGTGGTGGGGACATGGGAATGATGGGACATGGGGGACAGGAATGGGGTGAGGACATGGGCATGGATGGGGATGTGGGAGTGGTGGGGACATGGACGCAGAGCAGTAGGATGGGAGTGGGACATAGGGATGGACAGGGCACACAGGAGTGTTGGGATTATGGGAGGAGGGACAGGATGGGGTCACGGGTGGCAGGGATATGGCAGGGACAGGAATGCAATGGGGACATGGTGGCAGATGGAAGGCCATGGGGACAGGACAGGGACACAGAGTGTCCATGATCCATGGGGACAGGGACATGGAGGTGTCCAGTGCCCACTGGGACAGGACAAGGACAAACGGGTGTCCAGTGTCCATGGGACAGGATGAAGACACAGAAATGTCCAGGGTTCATGACAGGGACAGAGATGTCCACTGTTTATGGGGGAAGGACAGGGACGTAGAGGTGACAATGGTGACAGTGTGGACACTCAGGGGTGTCCATGCAGGGGTCCCAGTGGGTCTGAGCCCCCCCGGGGTGGCCTGAGGGGTGCAGAGCCCACCTGGATCTCCTCGACGTCAGCGATCCAGGCGCGGGCCTTGGCCAGGGCCTCCTTCAGGGCCTGGATGTTGGGCAGCAGCGCTGGGATGTTCTCGGCCTCCTTGATGATGGCAGCCAGCGTGGCCGGGGGGTGCTTCTGCCTGCGGGGGGGTCAGAGCTGGGGACCCTGAGACCTCACAGACACCCCAGGAACCCCCAAGATTCCTCCCTGATACCCCCAGAGCCAGGGCAGGATCACTCTGAGGAGCAGCTGAACCCCAAATGTTTCTCTCCTTCCCTGCAGAGTCACCAACCCCTTTATATCCCCCCAGAGACACAAGGGGCAGCCCCCAGCCTCTTCAAGTTCCTCTAAAACCCCGGGCTGCAGCCCCCAACCCCTTTACACCCATTTAGAGCACACATGGTGCAGCCCCCAGCCCCTTTATACCCACCCAGGGCACACAGGCTGCAGCCCCAGCCCCCTCCCACCCCCAAGGTGCAGCCCCCAGCCCCCCTTTCCCCTCAGGGAGGGGTCCCTCACCCTGACCTGGCCTCGAGGCACATCTGGGCCTTCTCCTCCCAGCGCTGGGCGATGGTCAGCAGCTCCTGCAGCTCGGCCATGGCCACGTCCACGGCGGGGCTGGGTGCCACGGTGCGGCCGGCCTGGATGAGGCCACGCATGACGGGCAGGGGCACGCGGGCACGGGGCGAGCGCAGGGTGGCCGTCACCTCCTCCAGCCACGCGGCCTGGGCCAGCTGCCGCTCCAGCCGCCGGCCCTCGGGCACCTCGACGCCCAGCCGGGCCCCCCGCTCCAGCAGCTCCTGCAGAGCCCCCGGGGCTGGGGGGGGAACATCCAGTGCTGCCCGTGCCTCCGCCTGGAACGCTTCGACCCGCTCCAGCAGCGCCTGCATGGGGGGCACGGGGTCAGGGCAGGTGTGACAGGGCAGGACAGCCATGGGACAGTGTGTGACAGCCATGGGACAGTGTGCGACAGCCCTGGGACTGTGTGTGACAGCCATAGGACAGCGTGTGACAGCCATGGGACAGCGTGTGACAGCCATGGGACAGCGTGTGACAGCACCAGAACACTGTGTGACACCCCAGGACACTGTGTGACACCCATAGAACAGTGCGTGACAC